TGTATGTTGCCTCTGCATGTATGTTGCCTGCTGTTTTGCTGCATGTGTGATACCGAGTATATATACTAGGTTGGGGGCTCTGCGATGTCTCCGTGTTATAACAAGAAAGAGAAGAAGAAGAAGATGGACAAAAAGATGAAGAAGAAGACTGACACACTGACGACAGGTATACAATTCTTTGACAGCAAAAAGCATATCGGCAGCATGATCAGCTGCATCTGACCAATATTCATCGACAATGTAACAGACATCTTGCTTTGTCTCTGTCTGTCTGTCTCTCTCATCTCTCTCCCTCTCTCTCTCTCTCTCACACACACACACATACACACACACACACACACACACACACACACGAAAACGCTTGCACGCATGCACACACACACACACACACACACGCACACACATACGAAAACGCACGCACGCATGCACACACCCACACCCACACACACACACCCACACCCACACCCACACCCACACCAATGTCAGTCGTCAGTGCAACCCTCATCTTCGACAAACTGCTCGCTGCAGCTGTCGGAATCGGGGTCGTCCTTGACAATCTTTGTGCGAGGCTTGCACTTCCGGTTTTTTTTTTTCCGGCTTCGTAACCGGACTTGCAGTCTTGTTCTTCCGAGGCCTGCCACGTGGAAGTTTCGGCCTCGGCACATCGTCGACAGGGGGGGCCTTCCTCTTCCTCCCAACCCTGTTGACCCACAGGTTGTCGTGTTGGCTCCCCTCTAAGTTGTCCGGGAATTCGGGGGAATTCTCCGGCGACCCGGAAGGCTCCGCTGTTTTCTTCCGACGCTTGTACACGGTCGTTGGTGCATGTTGTTGCTGTTGCGGCTCCTCCTCGCTGTGCGCCATCTCGTCGTGCTGCTGCTGCTCCTCGCTCTCTCCCACCCGTTCCGCATGTTGGTCCTCCAACCCCTCTTCTTGCTGGTCCGTGCCCCTCCGTTCGTTGCATCTCCTCCTCTCGCTGTTCCATGCAAACGGCTTCTTCTTCCTCCTCCATCTCTTCTTCTTCTTGCGCCAGGTGGGCCATCTCGTGTTCTTCCTCCTCGTCTTGCTGGCCCATCTCCTCCTCTTCCTCCTCGTCTTGCTGGCCCATCTCCTCCTCTTCCTCCTCGTCTTGCTGGCCCATCTCCTCCTCTTCCTCCTCGTCTTGTTGGCCCATCTCCTCCTCTTCCTCCTCCTCGTGCTGCCCCATCTCCCGCGCAGGCTCTGGTTCATGCTCTCCAACCTTCTTCTTTTGTTTCTGCATTTCTCGACGGGTTGGTACAGCTGCTCGCCATTCCTCCTCCTCTCTCATTCTCCTTTGCACCCGTTCACGATCTGCATCAGCCATTGCCTTCGCACGATCGGCCTCTGCCTCATCCTCGTCGATCGGACCAGGGCTAAGCACCATGTCAATGTCAGTGTTCGTCTGCGGTCTCTCAACATCGGATTGGATGTCGTACTGCACACTTGTATTAGCCGTCCCTTGACATGGTGTTGTGGGCGGGCGTTCTCCGTGGCAATGTGTTGTTCGCCTCCTCCCAACATATGTGGTGCCCGAGATTGTGGGCTGCGCTCCCAGCTCAAAGTCATCGTTGGACCCGTCGTTTGCCTCCCCTTTGCTAGACGATTTCGACTATGGAGCCTTTCCTTCCATATCTCGTCCTCCAGGCCGCTGTCGTCCGTATGCTCCTCTTCATCATCTTCGAGGTTCTTCGGAATCCGGCCCTTTGGTAACTTGGTTAAGGCCCGTTCCCGCGCCTGTTCCTCCTCCGTTTTCCCCTTCTCCTCCTCGGGCACCGCCAAAAGAGGATCAGNCCGGCCCTTTGGTAACTTGGTTAAGGCCCGTTCCCGCGCCTGTTCCTCCTCCGTTTTCCCCTTCTCCTCCTCGGGCACCGCCAAAAGAGGATCAGGCCGCTGTCGTCCGTGTGCTCCTCTTCATCATCTTCGAGGTTCTTCGGAAGCCGGCCCTTTGGTAACTTGGTTAAGGCCCGTTCCCGCGCCTGTTCCTCCTCCGTTTTCCCCTTCTCCTCCTCNTCATCTTCGAGGTTCTTCGGAAGCCGGCCCTTTGGTAACTTGGTTAAGGCCCGTTCCCGCGCCTGTTCCTCCTCCGTTTTCCCCTTCTCCTCCTCAGCCACCGCCAAAAGAGGATCATCGCCCTCCTCCGAATCCGGAAGAGACTCGAAGAACTCCGCCCACAAATCGACGTAGCGATGGTCCTTCAAGTTTTTGCTCGCCCGCAACAGATTCATATTCCAATGAATGTACACAAGCTTCTCCACGGTCGCGGGCTTCAACCGATTTCGTCGCTTGGAGTGCACCAAGTCCATCAAGGACCAATTACGCTCCGTCGGAGTTGCAGTGCTCCACATGCTCATCATTTTGATAGCAATGGCCTGCAACTTCGGCACATCGCCACCATATGTTGCCTACCACTCTGACGGCGAGATAATATCAGCATCCTCGATCGCATCCGGCCCCCACATCTTCTTGTCCTTCTGCTTGGGGTCGTATGCGGTGGGTCGCTTGTGGAACTCACACAGGTCTTTCATTATATCCACGTGCGCCTTGGACTTCCAAGGTCCGCCAATTTGCCTCTGCAAATAACGGAGCGCGTTCTGCACAAGTGCACTGTCCCGGTCCAGCAACCACTTCGGATCTCTCCTCCGCGGGTCGAGAAGAAAAGCCAGCGCATGCACCGGTTGCCGCATCATCTTCATGCGGTCCTGCACCTTCTCCAGCACCGAACTTTGATGCTCCGGTGTCAGCACAACCTCCGCCAGCATCCTCTCCATGAGTCGGTCGTACTCCACAAGGTTTGACGGTGCAGTCCCGTCCTTGTCCATCCTCCGCAGTAGGAGATACAACGGCTCCATCATCTCCACCACCTTCCTCAGCTCCGTCCACCAAGCATCCCTCCGCAGTGTGAAGTACACGAGATTCGCTTTCGCTTGCAGCTTCACGCTCGACCACCGCATTGCCTTCCATTTCCCCACATTCGTCGCGTTCACCATGTCCTTCAAAACTGCCCTTCGGTTGTGTATCCGCTCCAGCATCCGGTACAACGATCCAAAACGGACCTCAGTCGGCCGCAACAGCGTCAATGATGAGTCCAAACTCATCATGAAACTATTAGTCGTGTGGTGATTCCTGATGAATTTGACGATGGTGTGGCCCCGCTTCACCGTGCCCTTCATCGAGTCCAACTTGCTGATGTCCCTTAGCAGCAAGCTGCAGCAATGTGCAGCGCAGGGAACCCAAGGTATCCTTGCAACCACAGGGTCCGTGCGCAGCTCCAAAATTTGAGTTGCTCTCCTGTTCACCTCCGCGTTGTCAGTGCATATCGCGTTGATGCGATGCAGCCCAATCTCCCTCATTATTTTCTCCCACAGTTTCGCCTACGCCGCTCCCGTCGTCTTCTTGCCGTCCATGTGCACCGTCGCCACCAGAACAGCTCTTCTCCCCCGCCGCTAAGAAGTTCATGACAGGCCACTCCCTCCGATCGTTAGACCCGTCCGTGATGAAAGTGCAGTCGGTGACATCCCAACATTTTGTTAAAGGCTCCACTTGTTTTTGAATGCGCATGAAAATGAACTCCAGCATGACCGTCCGAATGTGCTTCGCAATGGTAACTTCACCTGCAATCTGGCGTTCGCCACCTCGAGGTACACGCTGTGGAGCTGCTGCGTGGTGTCGAACTCCAGGAATTGGAATGCAATTCCGACTCTGAACATTGCCTCCGCCCATGCGACATCCAACTTTTTCTGCGCCGCGTTGTCGACCCATCTCTTGATGGTCGTTTGCTGCATTGAAGCCATTCTTGTGGTGGAAGCACCATCTTCTCCCGCCGCTTGTGCGGCTACAGGTTCTTTTCCCCGCTGCACCGGCTCCTCCACTGACTCTCTCCTAGCAGGAACCGGCGGGTGTGGCTCCACATAACCACGAGGAACAATCACACTCTCATCATCTTCATTGTCAGCAGCACCCCCCGCCGAAATGTTGTGAAGTTGCCAATAATTTTGCAGAAGGTATTGCGTCTTCTTGTCCTTCGGCAACACCTTCTCGCCTTGGGTCACCGGATTGTGCAATATCTCGGCCGTCTTGAAAGGGCAAGGCTTCTGCAGTTTTAGGAAATGCGCAACGGTTCTTGTACGCGTGCCCCTGTAAATGGTCGAGCACAACCGACACCGCAGCCAATACTCTCCCCGCCCCTTCGGCACAGCCTCCTGACCTTGCTCTACATGTTTCCACACCTCCTTTTCATCCTGCAGCTTCTTTTGCTTACCCTCCGGCTGTAGGATGAACAAGGATGGGTCCGTAGCCGGCGTCGGGACTTTGTCAACCACCCCCGATGAAGGTGCGCTCGAGCTCGCAATGTCCTTCTCTCTACCCCCTCCTCTTTCCGACTGCCTCCTGCTTCCTTCTCCACCAACCGCACCCCCTGCCCTGCTCTCACTGGCCATGCTGCTGCAACCACCTCCTCCGCTTCCAATAAACAACTGCTGAAATTTTAGAAGATGGACGGACGAAGGGAGACTGCTTTACAATGTCGAAGAAGAAGAAGAAGAAGAAGAAGATGGATGGATGGATGGAGGGAGGGAGAGACGGCGAGATGGGAGGGAGGGAAGGATGGCAAGATGGGAGGGAGGGAGGGAGGGAGGGAGGGATGGCGAGATGG